CGCAAGAAAATATTTGAGACCTCAGTCGCAGGACAGGCCTGAGGCACACAAGGTGAGAGAAATTCCTTCAGGGATGTATGCATTGAAATACAAATAGTCTTCAACTTACCGCCATTTGTTTAGCGATCGTTTGACATTACAACAGCACTGAACAAGGTCATTGACAACTGGTCCTCACACTTACGACTGTTGCAGCATCAATAGTGGTCACGTGATCAAAATTTGGGCGCTTTGCAACTGGCAGGTTTTTTCTGATAGTTGAAGCATCCTGATTGCCATTCATGACCTTCCTAGCCAATTCCCGACAAGCAAAGTCAATGGGAGAAGCCAGATTCAGTTAACGACCATATGATTCCTTTAATAACCATGGCGGAAAAAGGTTGTAAAATCAGGTGTCACTCACTTAACAACCGCCTTGCTTAGCAGCAGAAATTTTGGTCTGAATTATGTTTATAAGTTGATGGATTGCTTGCATATTTAAGTCGAAGGATAGATGTGGGGGCTGGTCAAATCCAAGAGCAGCATTGCTATTCAGAGATTGCATCTGGAAAAAGGCCTCTTCCCTCCCAGATGCTTGTCTATATGTTTAAAAGAGTTATATGGCTTGTGTACCTTGTGGTACACAATTCACAAGCAATAAAAATAATACAACCACGAATCAAGAAAAATCAGCTGCCCAACCCATCAACTACTCCCATTCATTTCTACAATATTTGGCTTCCGACAGTACTATTTTAGCATCTGGGAGATGGGAGCCCATGCAGCTCTTCAACAGTGGTGTAACATGGGCAAACTAAAGGATGGCCAATATGGTGTGAGCTGCCATATTCTGCACAGGTCTACGACAACTTGCCACGGCCAACTTGCCACGGCCAACTTGCCATGGCCAACTTGTTGCAGCCAACTACTGTGGCCAACTCGCCATGGCCAACTTGCAGCCAACTCGCTGCAGCCAACTCACCATGACCAACTCACTGTGGCCAACTCACCATGGGACAACTCGCTGCAGCCAACTTGCCATGGCCAACTCGTTGCGGCCAACTCACCACGGGACAACTTGCCATGGGACAAGAGTTACACTAATATCCAAGGAATAGAACAATAGAATCATTAAAGGAAGGATGCCAAAGGAGGGACAAAATTAAATGTGTAGGACAAAAATTAAATTAATTTTTAACTATTTTAAATAATTGTTGAATTGTTGAATTGTCCTGCAGCGAGTTGTCCCATGGCAAGTTGGCCATGGTGATTTGACCGTGGCGAGTTGTCCCATTCCATTCTGGATCAGTTGTAACTTCCAAGTGCTCTCCAAGGGCAGCCCCGTGTAAAGAGTGTTGCAGTAGTCCCGTCAGAAAGTCACTAAGCCATGAGGGACCATGTTTTTGGTTGTTCTACACTAGCCTTCCAAAATCCAGAGTCCTCCAAATAGGTGGGCCATGAGACTTAAAATCCCATCCAATTTTTCCATTCTACAGGTAGTCCTCGATTTACAACACTTCATTTACCGACCATTCAAAGTTACAACGGCCCTGAAAAAAATGACTTATGACCATTTTTCACACTTATGACCATTGCAGCATCCCCACGATCACATGATCAAAATTCGGGTGCTTGGCAACTGACTCATATTTATGACAGTTGCAGCATCCCAGGGTCACGTCATCACTTTTTGTGACCTTCTGGCAAGCTAAGCCAATGGGGAATCCCAATTAACAACCCTGTCACTAAACTTAACAACTGCCGAGATTCATTTAACAACTCTAGCAAGAAAGGTGGTAAAATGGGGCAAAATTCACTTAACCACTGTCTCACTTACCCACAGAAATGTTGGGCTCAATTCTGGTGGTAAATTGAATACGTATTACCTATATTCTAACAGGTCTTCCACAGTAATTCCCAACTTTTGCTACATTAGTCCAGTTTTGCATAATTTATTTATTTATTTATTTATTTATTACATTTATACCCCGCCCTTCTCCTAGTGGACTCAGGGCGGCTTACAGCCAGTTTAAAAACAAGACAATCAATACAATATAAAATTTAAAATATAATTGAAAAGAAATATTAATATGGGCCTTATCTTCCTTTTTTAAAAGTTATTTAAAAACCAAATTTAAAATACCCCTTAGGCCAGTTCGGCCAGCTGAAATAGCCATGTCTTGAGGGCGCGGCGGAAGGAGGGGAGATCCGGAATCACCCGGATCTCTGGGGGTAGTTCGTTCCAGAGGGTGGGGGCTCCAACAGAGAAGGCTCTCCCCCTGGGGGTCGCCAACCGACACTGTCTGGTTGACGGCACCCTGAGGAGACCCTCTCTGTGGGAGCGTATCGGCCGGTGAG